CAGAAAACAATTCCACCAAGCACACTGAAGCTGAACTATGAAAGCATCAACAATAACGCTACCCTGCATCGAAATCCGCGTCACTATGACTACTGCGTGAAGGATGAAGTGTCTCTGGCTAAGTTGTTTATGAAACCTTTCATGGCGCATTTCAACGCATTTGACAGTTCCTTTGACACATCCGCCGTCCTAGCCGTTCTTTGCGAAGCTTTGCCATTCGCTGCCGTGAAACCGTTTGCCGAGGATGTGAGATCTAAAGTACGCAATGAATGGGCTCATTGCGACTTCGCAGAATGGACCGAAGCGCATTACGATAATTGCTTCCACCTAATGGAGGCTCTTATCACAAACCTGGCATTTGTCCCCAGCGATGAAACAAGAATTCTTGGTGAGCTCCAATTGTGGAGGAAACAAGGTATGGTAGGAGTACAACAAAATTGTTTTCTTGATTATACATTACATTTTTCAAGGCTGCAACTGGTACAGGGATTTTTCTGCATTTTAGTACCTTCCCTGTAGAGTAGGTTGCATCTATGCCCGAGGCTGTGGTAGTTCTAACATTTGAAAACAATTGGAGAAGAGGTAGTTCAAATCCATGCAAGGCGTTTAAAAGTGGACAGATGAGTTAAAATACTGTATAGAATTTGTCATTCGAGCTTTAACTTCTACAAGTGCTATATGTGTTTTCGTTCTTTAACTCATTCTCTAACAATGTCACACTGGAGTGGGAATGTTATGATCATACTTTTTGTCTTGAACAATTCTTATTTTATGTCACAGAAATTCAGGGCAATTGTTTAAGTGGTATCAGACTCGATTGCTGCCAGTTTTCCATAATTATATATAGTGATTACATTTGCTATCAGCGTGGACTAGGTTGACTGGCAACATGTGTTACTAGCCAGGCAATTTTGGAGCAGTAAAGGTAGTTTAAATAACATCAGCAAATAGTGTTTGTACCTGGCTACGTAGTTTTGAGATCAGTAGCGGTTCAAACAACCTTGGGACCTCTGAAATTTACTCTGTGTCTTTTTTTAATGTTGCGGCTGCCTTTTTCCCTTCAAACAGGACTAGAGATTTGCCTTGGTAAACCACTAGATGACACTCTTCTTAACCTCGTACACAATGAAATACAAAGACTTTATCATTCGATAGATGTTTACAGGGAAAGGGAAGTTAAAGATGTAGAAAATGTGTGCTCTACTCTGGCGTCATTGAAGTCTGAGTTTCACAGGTCCATAGTCTCCCTCGAAAAGGAGCAGTCTAGTCTGCAGAAAACTTGCGAAGACCTTAAGCTCTGGCAAGATGTAATTCAGGAAGAAATAGCTGTGAAGGTCAAGGAACAGAAAGAAATTCTTAGGACATCGGAATTACACTTGCAAAGGCGACAGGAACAAGTGGAGAGCCTCTGCAAAACAATGGAGGTCAAAAGGGCAGATATGCAAAGGGATCTGGATGTACTTAGGACTAAGGTGGCGAGTTTATCATGTTCAGAAGATACCAAAAAAGTTATCTTTGACGCCCCGGAAGAAAGCAAATGGTTTACGGGACGAGAAAAAGAGGTCGATATCCTGGAAAGATATTTTCTATTCGGGAGTGGCGGGGGATTAAAGATGGCAGCCATTTGCGGCCTTGGTGGATGTGGAAAGACCACCTTAGCAGCTCACTTTGCCTGGAAACACAAACCAGAATACGATGGAGGCGTATTTTGGATTTCCATGGAGGATGATAGAAAGTTCGAAAACTCCATGAATGATCTGGCATTACGTTTGGGAATGCTTGCAGATTCCTTTGATTTAACGCTGTCTAAGGTGCTAGAGTGCCTTTCCCAGCGAAAGAAGCCCTGGTTATTAGTTCTTGACGATGTCGACCAGTCAAGCCTCTCTGATCAAATGCGCAAAGTTTTATCAGGTCGTTGGAAAAGACAGGCAAATGGACAGCTATTGCTAACGACAAGACGTGAACCTAGGGAAGTGTGTGATTTATTGGACATTGAGCCTTGCTGCTGTGTTGAAATGCTTTCTTTCTCCCAAGACGAGGCAAAAACATTTCTTGTCAACCGAAGTGGCATTGACAATGCTACAGGAGAGAAAGAAGCTTTAAATGCGCTGGTGCACGAGCTTGGCTGTTTACCCCTTGCTTTAGAGCAGGCTGGTGCCCACATGAAAGCTCTTCAGTGTTCCATGAGTAAGTATCTTGAGGGGTACAAAAGTCAGCGATTAAAGTTACTGAGCCAGCATCCTGCAAAGCCATCATGGGAATACGAGTCCCAAATCCGTCTGGCGGTTCATACTACGTGGCTTATGAACTTTGAGTATGTAAAGAATTCACCCCATGGAGAAGTCGCATCTTCTTTTGTGCAAGCTTCTGCTTTCCTGGCACCTCATGAAATTCAAGACGAGCTAATCAACCTCGAATTGCTCTCCGTGGAGAATACATCTGGCCAAAGTATCAACCCTCCTCTCATGAAAATGCAAATCATGGAAATTTTAACCAAGTTTTCACTTTTTCAGAGAAAGAGCGCCAATTCCCTTTCTTTGCACCGCCTAGTCCAGGAAGTCGTTCGAAATAGAATGAACAGTGAAGAAAATGCCGTGTCATTGCTTAGAGCGATTCGACTTCTTCATCGCTCTTTTCATGATTGTCCATCGCCAGACGAAATCCTCACAGATGTCGTCGATAGTGTGCACGAACGGGCATCTGCTTCAGTGGCTGATCCTTCTCGGTTCTACTTGTGGTCCAAGTTAACCAGTCATGCTTCAGAGTTACAGCATCATCTCAAGTCCTTACTAGATAAACAAGACATTGAAAGAGGAGTTAAAATACTGGTTTTAACAAACGAGGCATCCCGTGTTGTTTACGAAAACGCTGTTAAATTAGGCGTCCATGGTCATCAAGAAGAAGCCAAGGAAGCAGAAAGATTTGCCTTTCAAATTTTGGATTCGGGCACAAGTCAGTGCACTGCCCTTTCGCTCGACCAGCTGAGAAAGCAGTTTCCTCATACTCTCCCTCTTTCTCAGGTACTGCAGAAAATTATCTTGTACTCATCTCAACCTCCAGTTGACAAGCAGAAACCTTCAACTTTTGAAGATCAGCAGATTGCTAACATAGATGAACTCCGTTTACAAGGAAACGCGTTCTTCAAGAAAGAATGTTTCAAAGAAGCAATCGATAGTTACACTAAAGCAATGGAACTAAGCAACGGAACAAACACCCCAGATCCACGTTTACTTAACAACAGAGCAACCACCTACCTCAAGCTAGGTAATTTTGACAAATGTCTTCAGGACTCTGAAGATTATATCAAAATTATGCCCAGTTGCTGGAAAGGATACACAAGGAAAGCTGTGGCTCTTAATAGACTTGGAAGGAAGCAACCTGCTTTATCCACTGCAGCCATTGCGTTTTACACTGATGTTAGTTGTTGTCGTCGTTATAAGACTTTCAACGATGAGTTCAAAGATCTGGATGGAAACTGGGAAGTTATCGACTCAGAAACACTGAGAGATGTGCTAGGACAAAATGTCCATCCCAGTATAACGAGGAAAGTTTTATTGGTGCAAAATGGTCAGTACGAGATTGATTATGTCGAGTTTTCCGATCTCAATATAGTTGCAGTAGAAAGTGTTCCAGCCGTTACGATAAGAAGTGAATCTCTTAAACTCCACAATAGTTGTTTTTTTCAAAACATCAACTTTGAAATGAAGCAAAGCATTCTGGTCGAGAGTGAGGCAAACGTAGAATTTGAACGCTGCAAATTTCATTGTAGCTCAGTTGACGAGCCAGCAGTCTCAGTTCAGGGAACGGCAAAATTCCTTGAATGCAAAGTAAGTAACAGCAGAGGTGGTGGGATAAAAGTGCAAGGATATTGGTCTTTGGCTTCCTTAACGAAATGTCACGTTTGGGGAAACGGAAACAAACCACTCCACTCGTCTGGAATTAGCGCATTAAATGGGGGAAATCTAATGGTTCACGAATGCCACGCTTATGGAAATACTGAAGGAATTCACATTGGTAATCCCTTTGGGAACTTGCCCGAAGTGGTAACAATAAGTGATTCCAAAATTTACGACAACAAATACGAAGGTCTTATTGTGGCCGGAAATTCAAATACCCTTTCAAATGTGACAATAAAAAGAAATAAAATTTACCACAACGGAGGATATGGTTTTCGTGTGTCCTTCCTTAACGATAGACGTTCGTTACTAATTTTCCAGGAAAACACAGTATTTGAAAATTTCTGGTGGGGAATCTGGGTACAATGCAATTCTGGCGGTTACTACAAATTGAACAAGATTTGTAACAACAAGATGGGTGGTGTAAGGGTTGGCAAACGAAGTCCAGGAATGCCGGCCTGCGTGGTAGAAAACAATGTTATTCATGATAACTGTGGGCCAGCTATTCACGAAGGGCTACGACACTTTGAACATTATTCTTATCCTAAGGAATTTCAGAAGGAATTCATGAAGCAACTTGAAGAAAGGAGAATGGCGCTATTAAGAAAGGCTCCGATTGTGTACTTGGACCGAGAGGTTTTCCTACCCAACACGGTGTCAGCAAAGTTTATGTCCAATCAGTGTTTTCAAAATGAGAATGGGATGACCAAATTACAGACGGAAGCCTTGCCAATGAACTGTGCTTTTTGCTTTCGAAGTGGGTGCCAATTGAAATGTTGTGCGCGCTGCATGACAACAAGGTATTGCGGGAAGGAATGCCAAAGAATGCACTGGGGAAGGCATAAGTACCTCTGTCAAGCCAAAGGTCAAATATGCACCGTCGAAGTTTCCATTCCTGTTTGTTCTTATGGCAAGAGCGGAGTAGCGCATTCTTCAACGAATCCAGGTTTGGAGCCAACGGGCCCAAACTATGCATCCCCTCCACCAAGAAACGGAAGTCGTTTTATTGTGAAATTGCAAACGTCGGAAGGATTGCTGAACGGTGAAAGTCTTGATTATAGAGGATATGTAAGTGATGAATATGACTCAAACAAGGCTTCTATTACTATTTATGATCGAAGCCGCCACGTTGACTTTATTATTGCTGGTCAGCCACGTCTTTATCATTTGATCATGGAATGTGGAATGATGGGCTCCAGCATGTACCTCGCCAAGAAACTGTTTTGCTGGGCGGCGTTTAAAGATGGCAGAACTATTCGGATATTCACTCACGAGTTTCCACCGGTACAAAAATGGTGAGGTGTCATTCACTGCGCACTACATGTAATTATACAACTATTATCACTTAGTCGATGGCGGTTTCTCTCGTGAAGATAGCTACAAACCGTCAGCAAAAAAGGCGAGCCTTTGCTTTCTTGCCTTCTTCTCTTCTCCAGAGAAGAATTGTGGTTCAGACTGCAACTAACCATTTGCAGAAGAAAGAACTACAGTGTGACTTATGCTTCTGATGCTATTCAATGCACTTGAACTTTAATTTAAGTAGTTCTGTTTTTTTTAATGTATCCACTAAGGATGTATATATATATTATAATATCGATTGTAAGAAATCGAATGTAAAACCCTAACGCCAGAGTAGTAAGAGTGGGAAGATTATTTCTTCACCTTTTGACGGACAGGGCATTTCCCTGTGACCACTTTGCTTCTTATATCATTTATCTCCAGTTTGAAGGGTAATTATATCAGCTAAAGAAGTTTCACCCAATTTTGTGCAAGCAAAGGAAACTACGTTCGTGTCCAAATTGATGTAAACCACATCTTATGCTATCTGCGAGAATTTTTCTATTTTAGAAATAAAGAAATCAAACTAGATTTACCGTCTGTGAATGTGTTCACTTTTACCGTTTATTGTTCTGAAACTTGACTGTACTGATATCGAGATACTAGAAACCGTAATCTGAGTGTTTCCTCTTGTACGATGTTAACTAGGGATACTTAGCTTTTGCAATAGACGACTCAATCCTGGTAATCGATCACAAGAACANGCCAAGAAACTGTTTTGCTGGGCGGCATATAAAAACAGCGAGACTATTCGAATATTCACTCACGAGTTTCCACCGGTGCAAAAATGGTGAGGATGTTGACGATTACGTACTACATGCACTGTGTCGATTTTGGTTCTCTTCCGGACATATAATTTATGCAATGACATGAAAAGGGTGTGTAGTCGAAAACGACTTTCCTCGTCATGATAGCTACAAAGCGTCAACAAAATAGCAAGCTAACAATAATGTTCAGGGTGAAATGGAGCGGCGTGTTTGTCCTCTTTAATGGAGCCATACATTTGGTAGCAGAGCACTGCCCGAACATGTCTACAGCAGAGGATATGTTACAAGTTCCAAAGAATTTAGACGAGGCAAAGGAGTTAGTAAACAAGTTGAGCATCGAGCACTTGTGGGCTTTCTGTTTCACGTTCGGATCATTACAAGACTGAACGAAATTGGATCTCCAAGAACAAGTTTGAGCTTACTGAATATGAAAATAACGACGAGGACAAGAAGGTTCAGTATCAAGAAATTCTTGCAATTTTTGCAGGGTCACGTGCTTAGCTAAGAAGCCCATGTTGACTGGACGGACAGCCTTCCAAAACCCAGGAGGAAATTTGATAGAGACAAAAAAACAAAAGAGGCCGGATGAGGAAGAGTACATGTACCCTCATTCTCCAATCCTTTGTTGGTTCCTCTGACTACAAGAAAAAAACTGAGGACGACCTTTCAACGAAAGAAAAGACACACTAATGAAATGTAAGGGAGCCCAAACTTGCTTTAATTGTGTGCAAGCAGGAAATATTTCCAGAGCATACATGCAAAGTACTACGATTCACCGTTGAAGAATGTGGAAGAAGACATCACGCTCTTTTGCGCATGGCAGTTAAAAAAGAGGATAGTCCTTTTTTTTTCCGGGTTTGTGTCTACAAACAATCAAAATTTGTTGGCAACTGCCTGTGTAAAATTGATTTTTGAAGACAACGAATGTGTGGTACGTATCCTCATGGATAGCGGATCACAGGAGGTCATTCTGTGGACATCAACTGCGGAGGATTTAAGAACTAGATCACATGGGTTTCCAGGAAAAATGAACAATAAAGTACTCTGAGGACAAGAACAGCCAAAGAGAATAAACCGCGTTAAGTTCAAACAAGCTCCTCTTGATTAAAGGGGTCATCAAGCAGTTTCTATTGATGCGTGGACCCTAAACAATGTCTGCGCTCCCCTTACAGCTGTCGGTCGTGATGTCAAAAAAATCTAGTCATCTTGCGGACACGTTCTCAAGCAATACTGCTGCGGTAGCCTGTTAGTCGGCGCTGACCGGTATTACATGTTAGTCCAAGGAAGCATGAAAAAAGGGTTTCCAGGAATACCAATTGTGACAAAGTCAAGACTGGGTTGACGTCCTACGGGTCCCACCACAGGGTATCGAAGAAGTGAGGAGTTGCCTAGTCATTCTAGATCCACAATTTAGTGAATCCACTAAGTTGCTTGGGGTTGGAGGACACCTGCGATTTGCACAGATCCCAGAAGAAGCCCGGCAAGCATCAAATCATAATTCC